TCATATAGAGAAGTGTGAACACTCAAAGAACCACTGGAATGCACAATAATCTTTGGATCATGGTTAAATGGTTCTTCTCTTTGATGGAACACCAGGTGTATATGATTCTTTGAAGAACTACCATATTGAATCCTTTGCTAAAAGGGTACCATGATGCATTGGTCAGTGAATCTAATCTCAAAATCATGAGTGAAAAATATTTTACATTTTAAAAACCTCATAGAATGCAAAATATTAATATTAAACGTTCTTCAGCACAAGACGTTCATGCTCTACACTCAAAATTGGGGAAATCTGGCATTTAGACTTTTAAATCCAACACTTTGAAAGCTTTCTAATATTCAAAATACCACTAGACTATATTTGTCACCTAAAACTAATTTTCACACACTTTTTTGATTAGTTTGTGACTGGCTGTGGCACAAACATCAAACTAAGAAACAACCGCCTCAATCTGACATCCAGCATCATTTTGCAACAATGTAAAGCATACCTGCAATGTAGCCTATGTATTAGAGTAACAAGTCCTCCTCCACCCCACAGCATATTGAGCCCATTAACCCAGCATTGCTTATTTGTACTAGCAGGCAGGTGCAGGTGCAGCACAAAGTGCTCGCTCATAGAGCACCATATAAACTGAAGGTGCTGATGGACAAACGCACGAACAGTAGTGCATAAATCCCAGAGTGAAAAGACTTTAGCCCACGGCTGTTGAGTTAAAAGAGACGTGAAAAACTGTAAAATGTCAACTTCACCATTTTGCTTCAACAGTCCAGCCATCGGTAAGTTTCGTTAAGTGTATTTCTTCAGCTATACGCACATCAAAGCATATCCCAACACAGTGCGGCAAGCTAAAAGATGAAGTTGTCATTTCTGGCAGAAGGCTTTCAGCAGGGATGCACCGATATGGGAATTGTGGGCCAAGATTTTTCACGTGCATATCTGCCAATATACAAATCGGTACTACATCTATCTGGATTAGCACAGAGAAAATATCATACTTACTTGTTGAGGCTCACAAATGCAGTAAAATGAATAGAATACTGACATTTTAGCACAGCATCCCAGTGTCGCCTAAATATTGTGCTGTTCTGGAGTACAGTAAGGACATTAGTTTTGAATTATCAGCCAAATCTAATCATCTGTCTGATGCAGATAATTTTTTAAACATATATCTGCCATTGCCAATCTCAATATCATCGAGCTTTCAGCTAGGCTGTATTATGTTTGAAAAAATGGCTAAAGCTAAATATAAAAGAGGTACTAAATAATAATAATTACTGGTGAGATGTAAAGATGAGAAAAGGCCAATAATAAATAATAAGAATAAGAGATGAAGTTTTAAGATAATATGAGATAAATAATTAGAGGTTATATTAATGAATAATAAGTACCACTACCATTAATACTAATAATAATAATCATAATAACAGTAAAAGGTTGATGATAAGAGGTCGAACCATTTGAACACTTCCGTGAATTTGCTATTAACCCTCACTAACAATGACGACAAACCAATGAACTGGTCTAAATGAGTAGTATCTTATAAAGTTTAGCTAAGCTGTATGTTTATTGCCGTTCCACCTGTGAATTCAGTCCATTCCTGCTGGGTCACAGAGGTCATGGTCACATAGCATAATCCGCAGTACAGCATGCGCACAGTCAAGCAGAAAGCATTCGACTCACTGCTGTACAAGTTTTGAGCGTCACTCATGCAACTTAGGCTAAAATTTCACACAGTATGTGTGTAATGCAAAAAAACGGGTCACATTCTGAGAAATAGATCAGAGATTATTGACGTAGTTCATGCAACTACGTACCTGACCTTCAGCAATGACACTGTACAATATGAAACCCCTTTTTCAAATATATTTTAACTGACTTTCATGATCATTTTTCCTACGACGTCTTCAGTTCTTTTGCCGGAGTCAGTTTTGGGAAAACATCTATAAACCTGAAAGGGCTGGTCATCATTCATCAGTTTAACACTGTTTTAACGCTGCCAGTTTCAGGCTACCTTGACATAGCTGACCACTCATTTTCAGCCCATTCCCTACAAGCAAATTTCAAGCAAGCAAACTCATATAACTGGATATCACAAGCTTTATGGAGCTGAGAATCACAGCCTGACAGCTTGCTTCAGTTATTCTTTGCAACTTGAAACCGACACTTTACAAAACATCACAAACGACTGTTCCCGTATTGCAAAATATGTCTTCACGTCTTAATCTCGGACTCAAATTCCAAACTTGGGATTTTAATGATTGCATAAAAAAATGATCTGTTTTCTGGCATTGGCTTAGCCTGCCTGCTAATACGTGTCTCGCGACGGGGGTGGACAAGCTCCTGTTCGGATTTACTCTGTCAGAAAAATCATATTTTGCAGACAGGTGAGAGGGCTTTTTTTTTCCTCAGGTGCGCTGCGTGCCCGTGCCTGTCCTGGACCTGCTGCTTCCACCACACCTACAGCCGCTCCGCAAGCCACCAACAAGCACTAATAGTGTTTGCATTGCCAAATCTCCAGCTGAATTAACTCTTACAGTGTTGAAGTAACTCTTTCAATCCAAAAAATGCACTTTTCCCGTGGTGAACGAACACCTACAGTAGAAGAACTGACTCTTACAGTGGTGAATGAACACCCTAAAGCACTGAATTCACACTTAAGAGTTCATTTGGGTCCACTCACTGTAAGCATTCATTCAACACTGTGGATTTTGCCACGGGGCACGTTTCATCCACAGGCTAAATATGCAGCTTTAATGGGTTGTTTCTGAATGCCTGCACTGTATCAAAGGAGATTTAGACTTTTACAACTTTTGTCAAGTCAGTTTAAATTCCCCAGTGTAGTTCAGATACCATAACAATCTGAGTATTACATTGTACATTAACTTGCTATTGGCCTCAACATTTCAAGACACCTAGATTGCTTTATTTGCACGTTTTGAGGATTAAATCTCTGAGATCTTGTCCAAAATCAGCTGTCACAACCAACTTGTCCGTCAAACAGAGCTGTAAGGTTACTCAGCATTTTGCTCGAGCCGCTTTTTGGGCTGCAACAGTCATTCAGTTTAATATATTGTCACTGTCCAATGAAAACATGTATCTCCATTTTTTGCGATTTTTACTTTTCTGCATCGTTTGGGCTCAGCAGCTGTTCTTTACATTGTGTGAAAATTTCATGATGATTGGACCAATAGAAATACTCCAAAACTGCTTAGAATAAAATCTTTTTCCATTAACTTACATTGAAAGTAAAGAAGGTTTTTGACCTCTCCTGTAAAGTCACTGTTTTTGGAGATGCTTGTTTTTCTTTGGACAGCGACGATATGCAGATTCATCCATAAGGCAGTGATTTTTATTTCCCTCATAGCATGTTTTCCACCCACTTCTCCTTGCAGGAATGTAGCTATAGAAAGGCTGGCTATAGCCTAAAGGACAGCACATAAAGTCGTTTAGCCTACAAAATGTCTGTGGTCGCTTTAATTCACCTTTATTCGTCAAAAACTCACAAACTTCGCCACAGGAATGAACACTAAAGCCTCAACCCGACGAGACAAACTGCCTCAGGTGAGGTGACTGGTTGACTGGACAAGTAGCTCAATAACTGACCTGCTGTGTTTCAGGCTCAGAGGTGGGTAAAGCTGCCCAAAACCATATTACAGGGTCAGTAAAGTATCCCCAAGGGTCTCCTCAAGTATCCCCTGTAGAACTGCAGTGGAATGGTGCTGAGATATATAATGATATTTCTTATTATCACGATAAATTACACCACATTATGATCTTATGAGCATATCATTGTCACCGTCAGTGCATGGCTCAATATAAAGAGAGCAAAATTAGTCCTGTTTGACTGATTTAGAGCAGCTCAATATGTGGAACGTTAAATAAAAATCAATGTAATCTTAGTTGTTGACAGTATTTTTTACTGCTTTTCCAACTTATCAAACCATAGTAAATATCATTTTTTATACTGTGTATCAAGAAATTTTAAAAAGTATTGTGATATTTTTTGCCATATCACCCACCCCTATATAGGACATCCAGCATCTAGCAGCATAGAAACTTTAGTTTGTTTTTTGGTTTGTATTTTTACTCTTTTTGGGATATTTTTTGTCTACAATAAAATGCTACAGCTCAAAAGTGAGAGATGTAAGAACCAGCTCAGCGGGACAAGAGCTGTCACCAAAAATGATAACAGCCCATTAGCTTATCCTCACGTATCTGCGCAAGCCTTAAAGGGGAGCTCCACCAATTTTTCAACATTTCTGCAGCATTAAATGGTTAAGGTGTAAACAAAGTCATTTTAGAGGAACTCACAGTCAGCACTGTTCACAGTGGTGGTGATAGGAACCAGACGTCCACCTCTAAAAGCTCCCTCATGGAAAATCGTTACCTGAAAAGGTTATGAATTCTCAGCCTGATGTCTGAGACACTGTTTTGTGATAAAGCTTTGGCCTAAACCGTTTTGTAATCAGTTTATTTTATCTATTCATGGTGGAGGGATGCATGAAGGGTGTCCTAAGCCAAAATAGTCCCCAAAGAAAACTCTTTTTTTAGGTTTACTACTACATTACATATAAAATCAGGTGGTTTTGGATAGTAAATAAAATGGTTTGTGTTGTGGACATTGGGACTCTTGGTTCCTATCACCACCATTGTAAATATCCCTGAGTCTGTAAGTTTCTCTACAAATGAATTTCACATCAAAACCTAAATGACTTGGTTTACATCTCAACTAATGAATAATGCAGACATTTAGAAAAATCGCTGGAATGTCATTTTTAGAAAATACTTATACAAATCATACAATTTTACCTCAGAACACGTAACTGGGTGGACATAAACGGGTAGGACCCAATTCCGAGCAGGTCACTGAATACAATGTCAGTGAAAGTGTAGCACAATAGCTAATTGTATTTGTATTTTTACGTCAAATTAGCATATTTTGCTAACAAGTGAATGGAAATGAATGAGGAAAAAAAAGCTTTTTGTTCACTCACAGCCAGTTGCTCGCGTTGGCCGAGAAAAGCGCCAGAAACAGCATCAGCAGCGACTTTAACAAATGCTCCGAGGACATCTTGAGTGGAAATAACGAGCAGAATTAAAAGAAAGCGCAAAAAAAAAGTCGGTGTACAATCCACAGGAGATGGGTGTGAGGAGCTGGAGGTGAGTTTAATTAGAGTTTATCACTTCTGAAGAGCAGCTAATCCATCATCAGGTCCTGAGAGCTTCTTCTTCCTCAGTAGCTTCTCGCCAGGGTCCTCACACAGAGAGATGGAGTGATCTGAGGGAAGAGTTTGAGCGGAGGAGTTCAGCCTGGTTCCTCAGCTGCTCTCCTGCTCTGTCCGTCATAATCGTCTCCTCTCTCGGCAGCGGGCTGAGGATGATGAGGGAGCCGCGCTGGGTTTCAGTCCTCCTGCGGTGTGTGTGTGTGTGAGAGAGAGAGTGTGAGAGAGTGAGTGAGCGCGTGAGAGAGTGTGTGTGGTGCTGCTGCAGTGTGTGATGGTACTGAGCTCAGCGTGGAGCGCCCACCTCACTTTAGTTCCTCCTGAAGGGCTGTGGAGGGGCGGCGCGAGATCTGGGGGAGGTTTTGGTCTGAGTGTGTGTGTGTGTGTGTGTGTGCGTGCATGTATGTGCTTGTGTGTTCGGGTGTTGTGTGCTTAAGAGTTATGTGTGTGTGTGTATATATATATATATATATATATATATATATATGTATACAGCGGTCGAGCTGTAAAAAAAGTAATTGATTAAGTAATTAATTAATTAATTAATTGATTTAAAATAATAATTAGTTTTGGGGTACTGACCTTAGCTTAGATGGTAGACCGGTATAGGTAATGTTTTCGTTTTAATTTGATGGCTTAGCTGGTGGAGCAGCATGACCAGCTTGACCGAGCTGGTACACCAGTCTGCTGGTCATACTGGTATACCAGCATTTCTGAGCTGATAGACCAGTATGATCAGCATGACCAAGCTGATTGACCAGCATGACCAAGTTAATAGCTCAAGTGAAAACATACCCTATACTAGTCAACCAGCTACCAGGGTACAGGGTATGTTTTTGTCCAGCCCAGCTGGATGTCCAGCTTGTCAAGCACCTAGACCATTAGACCATCTGGAACCAGCTGAACCAGCAAAATGCTGCTGTCAGAAGAAAACCTCGTATCTGCATTTTTCAGTTTTGACACAATCTGAAAATGCCTGCTGCCCTTTATATTGTGTGTAAATTTCATGAAGGATGGACCAAAAGAAATGGCCCAAAATCACTTGGAAAAAGTTCTGGTTCCATAGACTTACATTAAAAGTAAAGTAGGTTTTTTCCTTCTCCTGTAAAATCACCATTTTGGAGATGAGGTTTTGTTCTGACAGCAGCTAAAAGCTGGTCTTAGCTGAAGTTTTCCTCAGGGTGGTGTAGAACTGTAGTTATAATCAAATATCCCTCAAATTATACTGGGATTAGATTGCCTAGACAATAATCATCTGTTTTAATACCATTTTAAACCCTTTTTGCAACATCAGTGGCAGCTGAATATGAATATAAACTGCTTGTGACAATCATATACTGACTTGTATGTATTTATTTATTTATTTATTGGGAGGGGTGTATCATCAAAGGCAACTTGGTGTGCAAGTGTCAAACATGAACAGAATGACTCTATTGCTAGTAGAAATCTTATGTGTGATATAGTAACGTTAATCCAGCGGGGATGGACAAGGGGATGATTTTTGTCTTTTTTCTTTTTTTGGACTGGGGGGACGGCATCCCCTTGCATCCCTCCTTGATATAATATGTTTAGATATGCTTATTACAAAGTTACTCACATATCATCACTATCAGGACAAAACTTTGTATCTCCAAAATGGTCTTAATTACAATGTAAGTCAGTCTAAAGAGATTTTATTCCAAGTCAATCTGGAACATTTCTATTGGTCCATTTGTCAGTAAATTTTCACACAATGTTAAGGGCAGCTTTTACCTTCAAATTATGCCCAGAAATGAAAAACATAGAAATGCAAGGTTTTGTTCTGTCAGTGCTGATATATAATACATATGGAAGATTATTACTTACAGATACTTATGTACAGCTGTATGCAGAAGTTGGAGAGCCCCGGTCATATTACACATTTTCTTGATTTTCTGAGTGAAAGTAAACACACCCTTTACAGAGAACACACTGCACATTTTAATGCACAAAGAAAATCTATTTTCTGAATTGAACATATTGGGAAAAAAATAATAATATGTGGCCTGCAGAGATTTCCAATGTGTTAAACTCAGCAAATAAATAGAAATTGTGTACAACATTTTCAGAGAAAATGTCATAGAGGACGTGTGTGTTAACTTATATTCACTCAGAAATTCAACAAAACATAATAATTTGAGCAGGGGTGTTCAAACCTTTGTATATGACTGTACAGAGTATATATAGGGGACATATTGTTATGTACCAAAACTGCCATATCGCTGCTGTCATAAGAAAACCTCGTATCTCCAAAATGGTAACTTTACAAGAGAAGGAAAAAACCTACTTTACTTTTAATGTAAGTCAATGGAACCAGACTTTTTTCCAAGTCATTTTGGGCCGTTTCTTTTTGTTCTGATTCTTTTGATTTACATACAATGTAAAGGACAACAGGCATTTTCAAATTATGTCAAAAGCTGAAAAGGTTTTCTTCCGACAGCAGCGATGTGTAGAATACATATGGGGTGTGTACACAGAAACACACACACATATGTGTATGTATATATATATATATATATATATATATATATATATATACACAAATGCATAGTGTATAAAAACAAGTGTGTGCATGTGTGGTGTGGGGGGCGGGGTAAAGGCGGGTTTAGAGCATGCAAAAGCGTGTTACACGTTTTTTTTTCTCTCTATAACTGCCAGGCGGTTTTTGAGCGCTCCAGAGGGATTCAGAGCAGCAGCTATTCACCCTGTTCGAGGTACAACTTTTTGGCAGCGTGTTTCCTTTTGGCCTCAGTGCCCTCAAACGCAAGTGCTTTGTGGTAAAATGCTATGTAGAGGCGTCTACTATCACACGTTTCAACCCAAATTGAAAATTAAAAAACTTATTTATACTACTACTACTACTACTACTAATAATAATAATAATAATAATAATAATAATAATAATAATAAGGGGATCAACGTGGCACTTCTGGAGTCTTACAATGGTAAAACCTGACTGATTAAACTTAAAAAAGTTTTTTAAAACTTAGAGATCTAAAAGAAGACTTAATTGAGTTATTGACAGTGTACACTTTATACAGTGCCGCTCATCATTGTTAAGAAACTTACCATAAAAGAGCGAATATAATTGAACTTATTGGGTTTCCTGTGATAAAAATGTCTGTTTTATGGAGCAATGCATTTTTCAGCACCAGCACTGTGAACCCACTGTTGGACTGTGTTTGCTTCAAGAAAGACAAATTACTATTTCTCTTCTCTTTATATACTCCACTTCCCGAAAGCATTGTAATGTTTAAACCATGCACACTTCATTGATTCGTAAATACATTAGCTGCAGTCATAGAGACATTAGAAATATGTCCTCTACTGTGATGCTTTTAGGCACTTCTGATCACAGTATTTCTCTATGTTTGTAAAAATGTGAGTATCAAATCAGTTTTATTCATGTATTAAATTGTACTCGTGTCCAGTTTGCAATATAGCAGTGCAAACTTATCCCGCATTTCCATGAACTGACGTAGGATATGATATATATTGAAGTAAAACAGAACTTACCATGGCAGTCATTATCAGCACCACTCAGCTATTGCAGTGACCAACAGAGGGAGAGAGTGAGTAAGACTGAATGATGCTGTGGTCAAGCAAGACATGTGTCATCTCATTTCATACAGTTGGGAAGGTGAGTTCTGGACCCAGCCTGCTGAAAGATCCTTGTTCTTGTACGGGCATATAATTCCTCTGACCATCAATATCACTCATTCCTGCACCATCATTACCATCATTAAACCCTTTAAAGGAAAACTCCAGCATTTTCAACCAAACCTTGATGTGCTGTAGCTATTATATGTAGCTCATTACCACACTTGCTTCCCTGTATTTAGTAAAAGAGCAGAAAACATATTGATTCAAAACTTACATATAATAGAAGCCGATGGGCTCCACAAGTGTTGTAGTAAAACCAATTTTTGGGAAAGAAAGTAGTTAAGGTTTCAAAACATCAGACAAAAACTGTCCAATCAGGCTTTTTTTTTTCTCTATGCAGGTTCTTCTATTGGGTAGGCTTTTAGGAGCTGGACTGAAGGCCTTACAGTTCAGATTAACTACCAACATAATTACAAAGTCACAGTGGAATTGACCAGTCATATTTTAATATTTAGTGGATGGGACAAAAATCCCTAAGAAAAAAGTGTTACTCTAGGAGAGGGGTGCCCAATCCTGTTCCTGGAGATCTACCACCCTGGAGAGATTAGATCCAGAACACTATTATGTTTAGCTGCCCCTGAAGGCCTTTGTTACCTGGATCAGGTGTTTTTCTCCAGGACCATATTTGGGCACCCCTGCTCTGAAAGTCCTAGATACATCATTGACTGAACACAAGCCATAGTTTAACCAGGTTTCAATTGGTTGTTCGATGGAAAATAGAGGCAGCAGCTCAGGGCCAGAGCTCTTTACTGTAGATCTTACTGTAAGGTAAAAGGTCCCTGCTTAATCTAGAACGACCAAAAAATGGTAATATGCACCAGTGTTAGCTTAGTGCTAACATAATATTAGAACTCTCATAAGGGCACTAGTAGAAATTAGCATTAGAGGCGTTTTTGTCTCGTTTTTCATCAAGTTTTGACATTTATGAGCAGAACTGAGGGCCTAGCTCTAACAGTCATAGTTCGCCACTGCATAACTTATATTGCAGTTGGATGCTCTATGCATAATTCTTATGATTCCCCACTGCTCCGAAAAGGAAACAAACAGCAGGACACAAACCGCTCTGCAATTAATTTTTTCCTTGTCAAATTTTCAAATCAGACAGCTAATTTCACTGGCCTGGTTAGACCTTCCATGGCACAGGGTTTCTAGCAGCGGCTTCTCTCGCCCTCAGCGCCCGCTGGTGTTGATTTACTGGGCTTTGGCTGCTGCGCAATCCCACACTTACAAAAGAGGTGCGATCCGTTATCCCCGCAGACGCCTGGGCCGACGATGATGCCGGCAACAAGACTCTCCGGAGCCAAGGAGATGGGGTTTTGGCCTGTGAACGACCTGCATGACAGTGGGCTGTCTTTCTGTATCACTCTGCTTACACTCCCCCTCTCTCCTTTTCCATTAAAATAGAGCATCAGTCTTGGAACCACAAACAATAGAGGCAGCTTCGCCTGTACAGGCTGGTTGGAATCGCAGTGCTCGTTTAGCATGCGGTTGGGTGTGACTCTCTCTTGGTGGCTGTGGCTGTTGGCTTCTTCCACTGGTCTCGACAGTCTTATAATATTTGGGTGTCGCTCATACCTTCCTCCTTCGCTTCTTGCGGACAAACCCACTCACATTTCTTCTGTGACAGCCGTGGAAAATTGGCCTGAACAAGGCGGCGGTGGTGGCACACGTGATGCTATGCAGCAATACTGAATCGACCCAGGGGAAATTA